TTATAGCCCTGCTACTGAGCACTTCACATGAATTTTTCCAATGTCCTCCAGTGTCCGAATCAAAAGTGAGGCTCTAAAAAGTAAGAAAATGGGTCACGAATTTGCCCCCTGGGGTACATACTTTGTACTATTATTCAAATTCTGTAGGAGTGATTGGCATTATTTATTATGCAAATTCATATATATAATGTCTATGTATGTAACTTACAAACATCAAGATATCTAAAGTTATCAAGAATGAATAAATTATTTTCCCGGGGTGGGGTCTTTTTGGGGGGTGGGGGTCTAATCCCTGAAAAAAAAGAATTATGTACCACTCTGTGAAGCTATCACCTAGGTAGAATTTCCATCCAAGACTTCCCTCTAACTGAAAATGCTGCCAAACCAACTATACTCCATTTATTAAGAATTTTCCTCCTCGCTCTTAGAGTATATATTTTATCAACAAGTTGATATTAATATCAGCATTTTCGAGTGAAATGGTAAGGCCTGATATTGATAGCAATGAGTTGTAGTCATTATGTAATCTAATGTATAGTAAAACCTGTCTAATCCGAATGCCATTGGGACTGGCCAAAAGTGTGCTGATAACAGGTGTTTCACTTCTCGAGAATTCTTAGTATTTGAGCTGTGGATGATAATAAGACATTGAAAGAGAAAAGGCATTCATGTTTCAAGGTTTCTTTAACAAAGGAGTCAATGCTGCAATAGTAGATATATTTACATGGAGAGCTGAATCGGATGAGGGAGGTATTCTAACAAATAGGTTTTTCTAATATGTTTTTTACCATGAATGAAGGTAAGTAAGTACCTCTTGAGGATATGTTCTATATTAATGGTCATAATTTCATGGATCATGGAAGATAGACCAAGGCAGATTCCTTTAAGAGAGCTGGGTGCTCTTTAATGTGCAATATGGAATAGTTTTACTTTGTATAGTTATTGATACATATTGATCATTAGCACTATTAGTTTGTAAAATAAAAAAGAATCTCTTGACAACAGCTACATTGATAATTCTAGTTATGTCACCACCTCAACTCGTGACATTGTTCTAGTGTCATTGACATTTTGCATGTTATTACCTCATGACATCTTGCCAGCTTCTGTATGTGTTGAAAACCGAAATAGTATTCCATGGAAAAGCTGATCAAAATGAGCACATTTCTCAAAAGGAGAAAATGACAATTCAATTTTTCATTTTGTAGTTATTTGAATGGACATATACAAATATTATATTATATATTCCCAGTCAAGTAAGCTTCATCCTCCTAAGCAGGTATCCAGAATCCGTACCTCCTTCCCCCTGCTATAACCAATTTGGAAGCGCCCAATTAAACTGAATCACGTTATCTAATTATGCGCAATGACTCATACATGATTTCTGTCGCAGTGTTGCGACAGCCAATCAGATTGCGAGTTCTTAATCGGGGAAATGCTAACTGCTTATAGCAGGGTGTAAAAAGAAAGAAGATATTCTGGATTTTGAAGCCCTGTGATCAGAGGATGAGTAAGCTTAGTCAACAATTTTGCAGTTTTCAGCTCCTAAATTAGCAATTAAAAGATTCTTGCCATCAAGCTTAACTTTACTTTTGTTTCAAATTCAACAAATAAAAAGATATATAAAAGAGAGTGTAATACAAGTAAATAAGAAACTCTCCTTTGGATGTAAAAAATATTTAGGGGAACCAAGATTTTCCCCACTTACTCTTTGGTATTTTTTATTTATTATTAGGAATTTATCAATTTATGCAAGTGGTGAACATTGTTATGTCCTGTTAAGTATTTCCTGTTTCTCGGTATCGCCATTTTCCCTTATGTGATGTAATAAAACAATTTTTTTTTTGGAATGCTTGTGGCATTTTCACATGGTGATATCATTTGTGGAAGATATAAATGTATTGGCATCTATAATAGATTGAGATTATATTTATTTAAAAAAATTATATGCACCTCCTACCAGGAGGTTTCACGATTTACCAAAATTATAATACAAGGTGTATCTTTTAATGTTCACAAGAGAGTGAATTGTATCGTATAGACTAATAAGGGTTATACACAAATTATTAATAAAGTTGTAACTATAATTGCATATAACCTGGTCTTTATATGTACCTTTTAATTAAATGACTAATTCAATTAAAGTTAATGAAAGTATATCCCACCCTTGAAAATCTAAAGTTTACAAATACTCATATATGGAGCTCAGTGATACTACTGACCTCAAAGTATATGTTTTGTATCTATTTAGGTAGTTGGTATGTTGATAATGTTTACTCATTTTAGATTTTTTACTAATTTTCAATTCAAAAATTCTAGACATGTCTATTTACCTTAAGGCATAATATAAGTTGCAGCATTATTATTTTAATGGAGCGATCATGCTCTACATGTATTCTATGTACTCCTATATGTATTGTATATGTATTATATGTACAACAGTTTATGTATGTTTATGTCTTATATACTTGAAGTTAATGCATATTTATGTACCTGTATATTTTTATATACAATAATTGTAAATCTACAATATGATTTCTTTAGAATTAATCCTTAAACATTGTCGTGCGTGTGGTAGACTTTATCAACAGAAGAGTCTGAGATAACAAGGGTGAAAAATTGCAAGCAGCGTGTACATTTGACCTTCCAATGTTTTCTCAAAAGATATATCCAATTCTTCCAAATAATAAATGTAGAGATCAACAATAGAAAAATATATATTGTATACTTATATATTTGACCCATAGCACAGCAAGATGGGTCTCATCACAGATTTTTTCAATATTTTGATTTTTTGTTTATCTTAAAAAGCACAAAGATACAAATGAGCCATGACTTTATGTTTTAACAAATTTCCCTGCAGGTATAGCACATTTTCCTCTTAATCTTGGGTATTTTTGACTCTGTACATGCTGTAGCACAATTTTAATATTTATGATAAGACCAGTTTTCCTGTGTTTTGAGGCTTATTAAAATCTTTATAAGTTTCCCTGTAACAAAATATGAAAATTCTGTCTTTAATTATGCAAATGGAATTAGAAATGTATGTGGTCATATTTTAAGATATTTGGGAAAACTAGCCACAATCCTCAGAGGAGGACACAGTTGTATGAACTTATTGAAATATTTTACATTTTGTACAGTTTATTTTATCATTTTTATCAGTTAAACATAACATGTACTGTATTTATGATTTTGTTCACTTGTTAATCAGTGTATATATGTTAGGGGCCTTATATGGAAAAGCATTTTTATTTATATGTGAAATGTAAAATCAAGGAACGGTTGACCAATTCTATGTTTGTTATCATCCTAAATATAGTATCTCTTGTTATATAGATTGTTTAAGACTTAAAATGCAGAAATGGATATCTAAATTATGTACCATATGTATATGTAAAAAGTCTATGATTTCTCTGGAATTATATGAAATTTTGGCACTTATATAGAATAGGCACATGTAAGAAATGTCTAAAGAATGATAAATGCTGATAGAAATAATTGAGACAATTATCACCTCTGTCTAACCTTTAGGTACATTGTAGACATGTGAATCTTTATACTTTTAACACTAAGTTTATTATAAAGAAATATTATGTTCTATGAGATTATATGTTGCAAGTTAACCAAACGTGGGGTGACACAAAGTATTGTTCCTTCAAATCAACAAAATGAAAGATGTTTTGATCTTGAGCCCATATTTTCTCAAAACATATAAAGTTACGTGGTCATTTTATGGACTTTTCTGTGCAATTTTTATACCTGTCACCAACAAAATGGGACAATCATATGAATGCAAGCTGTTATTATGTTAAACTATGTGCAGTTAGGCCTGAGGTTCAAAGTCTTGTTACCGTTGTAAGGCAGGCCAGTAGTCAGGGGTGGGTGCAAAAATTCTTTCAAAATCATGCAGTTTTTCATCATTTTGAGCATTGTTCAAGTGATTTTGGTCCAGAATTCATAAATTTGACCCCACCCCTGGAATTTGAAAAAACTACCCCTTGGCAAAAGCTGGCTGTGGGCCTGTACTGTAAACCCCAGCATAGATTTTTAGTATTCCAACTGATTAGTAAAATCAAAATACATCTACCCTTGATATCAGGTTTTTACCTCCATGTGTGCTTTTTATTAGTGTATTTTATAAGGCAATTTGAAGGCCATAGATTTTTCATATTTCCACGAAGTGTTATTTTTTAGGTAGCTAAATCACCTTGTTGTCAAATGAAGACCAACATATGATTATTTATTTAACTACTAACAATTATGATTAAAATAAATATACAGTCGATATATACAGATATATATAATGCAGAATACAAGAGGACTCAAGTTGTGTTTAGTGTTTTGTGGAGGTGCTTACATGCAGGGCAAGACAATTCAGTGCAGGCCAAAGCAATTCGCAACAATAGTGTCAAAGAATAAGTTTGTCCAGGTAATTAAAAATACTGTTTTACATTTCCATAGAATTTGACAAAGATAATTAATAAAATAGAAAACTCCAACTACACACGAGTCCACAGTGTAGCACATTGCCCAAGAACAATATATTTATGAATCTGTATATGTCATAACATAATATGCTTACCTTCTACTCTACCCATGATGATGTACAGATAATAAAAGACAGACATTGGAGATATATTTCAGATTTTTCACAAATTTAACCTTTAAGTTGTCCATTGGGAGTTACAGAGCACAAATCATAAAAACAATGCAATATTCGAGATCTAATGAAGTACAGGGTGAGCAAAAACAGGTAACCTTAACAATCCTTAATTTACGGATTTTAAGTCATATTTGACTCAACTGAACCTCGTTCAATATTCCTTTATTCCACAAGTTTCATTGGTCTATTCCAAATGTTCACGATTTTATGACTATTTTACAGCATTTTATCATTCACTTAAAATTTCATGGAAAGGGATCAAGTATTGAGCAAGTTAGAGCAAATAGTGCATTACTTCTGGGACAACCCTCGCAACCCTCGTATATTATGTATTCTAATTTATCAAAATTTTCTCTAAATAGAGATTTTTTCTAAAACACTGTTTTTATTTTCCAAGTTTGGTATTGACAAATCCTAAATCAACTTGGAAGCAATAACGATTTTTACAACGAGGATGAACACCCGCATTGAATGTTTTAAATCCAAAATTCCAAAGTCGTTTTGCAATCGAATATTTTGTAGGATAGTCATATTTCTGATCTCCAAATATGTGCCATTCACCTATAAACTGCCGCACGTGTTCTATTGTCCCATCGTCTATCATTGACGAGATGACGTCAAATTCGTAGCCCTCTATATCCATTTTAAGCACATCTATCTGTAAGACATAGCATAATATGCAAGGCATTTGTAAGACAAATATGGAATGACTATGAGTGATGAAGGAATATTGGTTATTGACAGACAATTCGATTATCATAAACATCTTAAAGTTCCACCAGGTATCACTATCTAGTTTTAAAGAACTTTAAAGATTTAGTTTTAACTTTATGGTGCTAAAGCTTATTTTAACAGCTTCGCCACTTTTTCCCTGTTTGGAAAAATAAATATTAAATAAATATTAGATTTTGCCCCTTGGTGATGAAAGGGTTAATTGTTCAACTTTGGGACTAGCAAATATCCAAAATCAGGCCAGATCATTAAAGCTGACATTCTTATAGGACAAATGGCGGTATTTATTTTGCATTAAGGAGAGCACTTTCACATGTAATGTAAAGGGTATTCGACCCTAGACTACTTCCTTCATATATGGCTAACACTGCGCATGTATGTAAGCTTGCACATACCGTTTTATTTGTGTGTCCTAGCATTTCCATTATAGACTTCATCGTTCGCAATTTCCAGGTAAAAATCTGAGATTTATCGACATATTTATCAACACGTGGAGTAAAGTTATCGGAATCAACTTTCCCTAAACCAATGTTATAGAACCATAAGTTGTCCATTCGTTTGTGACTTTCAGTTTTCATACTGTAAACAGAAAAAGGCAGTACAATATGATTGAAGATTCAAACATTAAAAACGTGTTCCTAGTGTTTCGAATGACTTGCCTACGCATCGATGAAATGATTATACGAGTGAGTAAAAATGGTCCAAGCATGAAAGAAATATTAGCCTCTGGATTTTGAAGCCCTGCGTACGGAGGATGAAGCACGAGAGGTATAGGACTTAGAACGAGTCAAATAGGACTAAGCATGAGGAAAATTGACCTTAGAACGAGTCAAATAGGACTAAACATGAGGGATATTGACCTTAGAACGAGTCAAATAGGACAAATCATGAGGGAAATTGACCTTAAAACGAGTCAAATAGGACTAAGCATGAGGGAAATTGACCTTAGAACGAGTCAAATAGGACTAAGCATGAGGGAAATTGACCTTAGAACGAGTCAAATAGGACTAAGCATGAGGGAAAATTGACCTTAGAACGAGTCAAATAGGACTAAGCATGAGGGAAATTGACCTTAGAACGAGTCAAATAGAACTAAGCATGAGGGAAATTGACCATAGAACGAGTCAAATAGGACTAAGCATGAGGGAAATTGACCTTAGAACGAGTCAAATAGGACTAAGCATGAGGGAAATTGACCTTAGAACGAGTCAAATAGAACTAAGCATGAGGGAAATTGACCTTAGAACGAGTCAAATAGGACTAAGCATGAGGGAAATAGACCTTAGAACGAGTCAAATAGGACTAAGCATGAGGGAAATTGACCTTAGAACGAGTCAAATAGAACTAAGCATGAGGGAAATTGACCATAGAACGAGTCAAATAGGACTACGCATGAGGGAAATTGACCTTAGAACGAGTCAAATAGGACTAATCATGAGGGAAATTGACCTTAAAACGAGTCAAATAGGACTAAGCATGAGGGAAATTGACCTTAGAACGAGTCAAATAGGACTAAGCATGAGGGAAATTGACCTTAGAACGAGTCAAATAGGACTAAGCATGAGGGAAATTGACCTTAGAACGAGTCAAATAGGACTAAGCATGAGGGAAATTGACCTTAGAACGAGTCAAATAGAACTAAGCATGAGGGAAATTGACCTTAGAACGAGTCAAATAGGACTAAGCATGAGGGAAATTGACCTTAGAACGAGTCAAATAGAACTAAGCATGAGGGAAATTGACCATAGAACGAGTCAAATAGGACTACGCATGAGGGAAATTGACCTTAGAACGAGTCAAATAGGACTAATCATGAGGGAAATTGACCTTAAAACATGTCAAATAGGACTAAGCATGAGGGAAATTGACCTTAGAACGAGTCAAATAGGACTAAGCATGAGGGAAATTGACCTTAGAACGAGTCAAATAGGACTAAGCATGAGGGAAATTGACCTTAGAACGAGTCAAATAGGACTAAGCATGAGGGAAATTGACCTTAGAACGAGTCAAATAGGACTAAGCATGAGGGAAATTGACCTTAGAACGAGTCAAATAGGACTAAGCATGAGGGAAATTGACCTTAGAACGAGTCAAATAGGACTAAGCATGAGGGAAATTGACCTTAGAACGAGTCAAATAGGACTAAGCATGAGGGAAATTGACCTTAGAACGAGTCAAATAGGACTAAGCATGAGGGAAATTGACCTTAGAACGAGTCAAATAGGACTAAGCATGAGGAAAATTGACCTTAGAACGAGTCAAATAGGACTAAGCATGAGGGAAATTGACCTTAGAACGAGTCAAATAGGACTAAGCATGAGGGAAATTGACCTTAGAACGAGTCAAATAGGACTAAGCATGAGGGAAATTGACCTTAGAACGAGTCAAACAGGACTAAGCATGAGGGAAATTGACCTTAGAACGAGTCAAATAGGACTAAGCATGAGGGAAATTGACCTTAGAACGAGTCAAATAGGACTAAGCATGAGGGAAATAAATAGACCTTAGCATGATTAGACTAAGCATAAGTAGAGTAGACACTAGCATTAAGGAAATAGGGGACCAAGCATAAAATAAGACTACTAGCACAAGTAAAGTAGACGTTAGCATGAGTGAGATCCACTAACCTTGGGTCAAAGGCAAACACCTGGCATCCACGTCTAGCAAATGCATCCTCAAAGTGCCATATATTCGCAATACTTGAAAAACAAGTGTAACAATGGATCATAATCTACAAAATCAGTGTAACAATGGATCATAATCTACAAAATCAGTGTCCAAAAATAGATTTCTTAGTGGCACTTCGGAATATACAGTGACTTTCGATTATTTAGAGAAAGGAAATTACTATTAACGATATCGTTTAGAAATTCTCCTAACGTGGCCATATTTCATACATCAGTGAGACTTCGTATAAACTGAATCAACATCAGAGATTCAAAATCGAAGAAGTCGCAATGATGAAATCGTACCCAAATGAGTAAACGATGCATTGGGCTTTTGGTTGATATTTTTGGTCCATACAGGTAAGATGAACGCCTTCAGCGTGGCTTTTGGTAGTGCTACCGACTGCTTCGACCACTTCACAATTGTACGTCTTCTTTGAAACAAATCTGAAATTATTTTTCATTTCATCAGCATATACATGTAAAGAGTGAGTCAGGGGTCGGTGAATGGACTTAGTAAAATTGAAGAATTTCAAAATATATGAATTGAAGGTGAGCACAAATGTATGGTTTTTAGCTTACCATTAATTTAGATCACTAACAAGTTAAGTTGAACAGTACAATCGTCCAAAAATGCAAACTGAAAACTCTATGTGTAAAACAAAACTAAGAGTGAAATTAATAGGCGATATCAAATGGAAGCCATCTTGGATTTTCTTGATTATGGCAAGACATTCCCCACGTGCACTATGTTCCAAAAGGTTGGCACCCAAGCAGCGTAGAATGGTTTCTATAATAGTAACTCAAAACTTAGAAAAGCTATAACTGAAACTATAACAAGGAAACCTCTCCCAGAGAAATCATGTATGTATTTGCCATAAATCAAATGTAGGGAGGAATTCAATTATTTAGACCAGCGTACTAACAATAACCCTCAGTACACTGGTGATCCACTCGATTACGCTGGTTACCGAAACGGTTCGTTTTGGTAACAAAATGTCGGAACATCGAAGGTACGATTTTTCTTTTTTCCTTATTTCACAGTACCAAAACGAACCGTTTTGGTAACCAGCGTAATCGAGGGGATCACCAGTGCAGTAGAGGATTACAGTTAGAGTTGCAACCAAAGCCTATGCAGGCTATGGCAGCTGAACTTTTTCAACTTCATTTCTGAGAGCTTCAAGCTGTAAGGGAAGATGTATTGTCTGTTGCAAGACAATACAATCTCAGGTAACTACAACATTTCCTCCATTTTTATGGATTAAAACAGTATCCCTAAAACGGATATTCTCTATATATATGTATGGATGATATATCCAATGCTTTTCAGATATAATAATAACTTGGCCTACTCAGTAAATAACAGTTCAGCTTCTCGCCAGGTGAGTTCAATCTTGTTTCCATCAGAACGTCTATGCACTCCCTGAAAATAAGATGCACAACCCATAGAGGTTCTTGTACTCGTACCTGTGCAAGGTCATCCATTTATCGTGATCACCAGGCAGTATGGGTTATTAAGAGTAGGAAATTTCGATCTTCTAGAGGGGGGTTTAGATTAAAGCTGACAACAAGTATCACTGAGATTCAGAAAAATGTTCACAAAAGATGTAAAACCTGATGGTGTTACCTTTTCAAAAATCTGCAATTTTTGTTAAAGCTACATATCAACCGTAATGTAACACCGCCAATATTTAAAACATATGATCATGGGTATGCCACAAATTGATGCACCATGAATGCAGAAATCTAAAATGTATGTTCAAAAGTGACAAAGGAAACTCAATACTCACCTGTATCGGCCGAACCATCCAATACATGTAGAGCAACATTATCGAGGATACCATAAAGATTGCACAGAAAAATCCCCAGAAAAAGTACCGCAAAAACATCACTTCATCAGTGAGACAAAGACCATTATTGTTGTACTCTAATATGCATATAGGTGTATTCCACTGTGTTCTCCTGAGGCTTTTTCATAATGTGCTTTTGTATACATGCCAATCAATTTTGATTGACACTGTCAATTTCAAAATAATGCATTATGTATTTAGCTATCAAGGGCGTAACTAGGATTTAAAAACAGGTGAAGTTGAATAACTAGTGAACTGGCGTTGGAAAGGAGGACTTTGAATACTGCAAATATGATTTTCAAAACGTCACCAAACTGCCAGTATTGGCGAGATTGTAATGAATTTATACAATGGCATAGAAGATGTGGCTAATTTGCAATTTCGGAAACAAAAAATATCAAAGTATGTTTAACACGGAGCAACTTTGAGATGTATTAAAACATTAGTGCATTGCGGACATTAACATCAACAGATATTAACATTTTACAACATGACTATTACATTCTCCGAACGCAGATGCCCATAACTCATCCACAAGTTACGAAGGAATGTAATATATGATGCCTTTAACCCTAGGTTCGGAGAATGCGTGTACTAAAACATGCTTTCATAGGCCTAATCTCTTCAAAATCGTTTCTATTCCTCACAATAGTTATGGACATATTTTAGGAACATTAAAAACATTTCACAGTATTTGTAAGTTATACAAATCTAAAATAATTTGAAATAATAGTTAAAACAATATGTACACCTGATAGTTCGTTTTTAATGAATTGTTGGATTTGTCTGAAATAAACACTTTGGTCGACGAATCTTAATTGTTTACTGTATATATCCCAAATCAGAATTATCCACGTCATCCATGTATTGATGGTAGTGTCTCTTGTAGTCTTCTAATTGTGCAACTGTGAACCAGTCTTTCCATGTTCCTATTCTTCCTGGAAGATGTAATGTTATTAAGTGTTTTAAACATATTTGAGATTACAAAGGAGTGGTATTGATATGGAGAACTTCTTTTGAACACACGTTTCTCTTAAATCAGTCATAAAAATCTAAATATTTAACACATCGTCAATTTAATGGTCATCTTTCGAATGGTAACAATATAATTTGAAAAAGATATATATACTTTCATCTATATTGTTTTAGAACACATCAAACACTTGATTTGTTTTGTTCTTGGTATCGAGTTTCGGGAGTGAAATGAAACATCTTTTCGAACTTCATTGGAACAAAACGACATAAACACAACATGTTTAGGTCTCTCAATATTGTAATTGTACAAAGGAAATTTTGGTTGATTTTAAAAAAGTATCTTGTTAATGAAATAAAAGATTTATTTTGATTTTTATCTATTTTGGGGGGGATTTTGTCTTGATTTTTGAATACCTTTTTAAAATCAACCAAAAATTCCTTTGTATTACTATAATATTGAGAGGTCTAACATGTCTAAAAACATGTTGTATATGCTATTTTGTTCCAACAAGGTTCGGAAAGACATTTTATTTCATTCTCAAGAATTGGTAGAAAAAAACAGTTATATAAAATATTTCTAAATAATTTTTGCATTGAATTGTTGTCAATCAGTCAACATTACATAAAACACCGTGTTTTTTACAGAATGTTTTCAATGATTGGTTTAAGAGAAAAACATTGTTGAATTCAGTTCTCCATATCGATACCACTCCTTTACGATTTATTTCTAAATCTTCTTCAGGTAAACCTGTAGCACTTAACACCTAATTGGTTCTGAAGTAATATTTATGATGGTTGTTCAATTAACATAATTATTAAAATACTAAGATATAAAAAGTGTGCTAAATTTTATATAGTGTGCATGTACAAAAGTACCTTTATCATATTGAGTGCCCAGTCCACCTTCTTTGTGGTAAGGCTCGTATGTAGCATTATTTTTCCGCATTGTAGAAAGATCTGTCTTCTCTTTAAGCCTCATAAGTTCTGTCTCGCTGTATGTCTCGCCTGGTCTAAGAAACAATGCAATCTCCTTGATCCATTTTAAAGGATCCTGAAATCATTTTTTTATTTTTTACTTTTTATTTCTGTACTATCATTGTACGTACAAAGGAATGCTATCGATATGGAGAACTTTTTGAACACACGTTTCTCTTAAACCAGTTAAAAATTTAACACATCGTCATGATAATATAATTTGAAAAATACTTTTATCTATATTGTTTTAGAAAACACATCAAACACTTGTTTTGTTCTTGGTATCAAGTTTCCAGAGTGAAATGAAACATCTTTCCGAACCTCATTGGAACAGAACGACATAAACACAACATGTTTAGGTCTCTCAATATTGTAATTGTACAAAGGAAATTTTGGTTGATTTTAAAAAAGTATCTTGTTAATGAAATAAAAGGTTTATCTTGAGATTTTGTTTAATTTTTTGAATACTTTTTTAAAATCAACCAGAAATTCCTTTGTATAACTGTAATATTGAGAGGTCTAAAAGCATGTTGTATATGCTATTTTGTTCCAACAAGGTTCGGAAAGACATTTTATTTCATTCTCAAGAATTGGTAGAAAGGAGCAAAACAATTGCACAAAAAATGTTAACAAAAACAAAAAATGTTATCAAAATATTCCTAAATAATTTTCGCATTAAATTGTTGTCAGTCAGTCAACATTACATAAAATACCGTGTTTTTACAGAATGTTTTCAATGATTGGTTTAAGAGAAAAACATTGTTGAATTCAGTTCTCCATATCGATACCAATCCTTTTGCAACAATTTTAAATGATTTGGCTTGATGTATTGTAAGTCATTTAATAATGAACAATACAAGGAAAAAAATATCCACGTATTGGTATTTCGGGCAACAAAAAGACAGTTCTGATCAGTGCTAGTTACTGTAAGCATTGTTATGTTTCTTCAATAAATTATTTTAATTTGAAGGATTTCAATGTTTTTTTGAATTTTCACGCATGCGTATAAAAACGTTTAAACTGCAGTTATTACAGTTTGAAGAAAAAATCAATAGTTGATGTTCTTGACTTATTGGTTTGAACCTTTCTAACCTAACTTGTAATACCAGATATTTTATTTAATATATCATTTTCATTATTTAACATTTCTTTTTTTATTTGAGGTATTGTTAATTTGCTTATTTGACATTTTATTTTCTTTGATCGATACGTTTTGTCTTTTGATGCTTTGTACCATTTGGTTGTCTATATTTTTTCTGGTTTGCTGTTTATAATCATCATTTCAAATATTTACCATTCCAAAAATAAGATTTTCTTGAATAATTAATTAATGGCAATTAAAATTTTTTGCGTGATACCTTCATGACAAGGTAGCCACTTCCAAATGAAATGAATTTTGAAGAAGTTGATTTAAGATGGCAACTTACATGTCTTAAGCCTTCATACTTCAGGAAAAATATGTTTTTGTTGTTCCTCGATTCTTGTAGCCAACCTTTAGTATGTTTCTCCCATGTGCCTCTTGGTACTAGAATATACAAGTTGAGCAGAAAAAGAAAAAGAAAGCAAGCAATCTTTGAATCTGTGCAAATAGAAGTGAACCATTTAAGATTAATATCGTGACAGAGAGTACAGAACATTAAAGCATACTTTTATCTTGAAAGTAAAGTGAAAGGAAACCATTCCAGGTGCCATCATACTTAAAGCCATCATGTCTCTGTATAAACTTGTACCAAGACACCATTGCATCCCTTGGGTCCCTTACAAGGTAGATCATCTTAGACCCCTTCTTAAAGATGTCCACTGGAGCAAACTCACGCCCAAGATGACATGATATAACTCTTGGCCGACGAATGTCTTTCATGCCAACGGTATTCAGGGCAAAAACACTCAGCTCTTTCTGTAAGGGTCCGACAAAGCTATCAATACCATGTAATAATCGCTGAGTGATCTCCCAGACCCAGTGTGACCCTATAAGTTTAGAAAATATAGTTCAGCAAAGAAAACTTCTAGCCTATTCAACAGGTAAGATCATTTATGCTCAGTAAGGATTGTCGATAAATTGTGGACGATTCTAAGTATGGGGGCCTTGCTTGAGACTGAATGAGGGCCCAACAACTAACGTACAGGGTGAGCCAAATAAGATAACCCAAACAAATGGTAATACCTTAGTCATCCAGTATGCGTTTAAAATCATATTTGGCACAAGTACACCTTGTTCGGTGTTCTTTCATTCTCTCAATTATTATTGACCATGGTCTATTCTCAATAGTCACGATTTTAAGTTACTTATTTCACAAAAAATGCTATAAAATACCGGCGTTGTGTTTTGAGGCAAACTTGAACGTATCGGGCGAAGTGTTCACTACACGAGCACATACATATTGTGTAATGGCTCTCAACTTTATCTCTTGCCTCTTTATTTCAAGGATTATTAGTGTAGACATTACATTAGCCCCGTATAAGTCTGGGGTTTTCATTGTTAATGGTCATAAAGTCGTGACCATTCGGGATAGACCAGTGAAACTAGAATTAAGAACATTGCATACGGTTTAATTGTGACAAATATGAACCCTGTACAATATGAGATGCCATTTCTAATCAAAATAACTTCGTTAAATTAACTACAGTTTATTACAGAACCTCCAAGTTCACGACATTTTCCAGCGTATGCAGACATGCATACCTGATCTTGGCCAGGACATGACCCATACATCATCAGCATTTGCTGTAAATGTCCTGGCATCATTATGCAAAGTACTGTGAAATACTGTTTCCTGTGGCACTCCGTCTATATAGAATAACTTAATTGTTTTCCCTTCACAATCTTCAACAAATTCACACTCATCATTATCGTAGATTACGAGTTTCGCACATTCGAGCTCTTGTTGGTAGATTTTCTCATCATCTGTAGGCTCTTTCGCTTGTTCCCCTTCGTAATCATGCGATGACATACTTGTCAGGGAAATTCTATGAGATAAAGGAAATACTTTTAGAATTTGATCAGCATTTACAACATAAGCTTCTAATGAGGTTGAAAACGATACAAAATGTGTAAGTGAATTAAATAACCATGACAAAAATTACTTCCATGTACTCATGTAAATATTGATATCAACTTCACACCAGATTACCATCTTTGGTTCCCATGTGCTAATGAAAAGGAAACTTCCTAATTGTTTATTGTAACGAAATTTTTATTTTTTTTTGATTTTTGATTTAGTGCCATGTTTTCGTAAATCAGGTAGTTATTACACTTGAAAAGTGATTCCCTATTGAGATTATTAAGATGTCTAATTATAGTATCATTTTCAGCATTTAACTTGTACCTACAGACTTGGATACTCTTTCAGTTGATAATAGAAACGAATGTTTTGCTTTTTAACGTAATCCGATAGGTGCCGATAATAGAGTACGAATATATATGGGTCATTTCCGGGTTTCTTTTCGATCAAATCGAAAGTGCAAGGAGAATAGAAGATTTTAGTGATCATCAGCTTACAGGCTTAGTATATCAACTTAGTATATCGGAGATAACGGCAGTGATTAAAAAACTCGGTTAGGGCCTAAAGTCTAGTTTTATAAAATAAATGTTACACAACCTGTTGCTGTTGCTAGTTTTGTATCATGTTATTTGTATACTTGTATCTTTTATTAGAAAATAAAAAGAATAAAAAAGAAATTGTACATTTTGGCTTAGAAACGCCATAATATATGACATTGTGCTATTATTGAATATTATATATGTCTTGTCGTGTACTATTTGTCACGTGCACATTTAATGTCTACTGAAATACTAGCAGTTGTAGGCTGAACGCTCAGCTAGAGATATAAAAAACACTCGCTCACCTCACATCAAAATGAATCAATCGATTTGTGGGTGTATGTTGAAGAAGTCCTTGTCTCCAGACACTCTGCTTTAATGTTATTATTGGCCTGTATATGTAAAATGCTTAAGTATTTAAATGAATTTAATGTCGGTCAAACTATCTCGAGAATGATGTCAAACTTGAGACAAGTATGTCAGGTTATTTTTGTAAAAACATGTGTTATCGTTTATAGTGCACAAATCTTTTGTTTCAACAGAACATGAGTGGTAATACGTGAATTATAATCCATACACATGTACCACCTTTGATATGGGATGAATAAATGTAAAAATACCGACATGGGCAAAGGATTGGTGTCGATATGGAGAACTGAATTCAACAATGTTTTTTTTCTAAAACCAATCATTGAAAACATTCTGTAAAAAACACGGTATTTTATGTAATTATTTAATGCGAAAATTATTTAGAAATATTTTATATAACTGTTTTTGTTAACATTTTTTGTTTTTTTAGTGGAATTGTTTTTGCTCCTTTGTACCAATTCTTGAGAATGAAATAAAATGTCTTTCCGAACCTTGTTGGAACAAAATAGCATATACAACATGTTTTAGACCTCTCAATATTATATTTATACAAAGGAATTTTTGGTTGATTTTAAAAAAGTATTCAAATAATTAAAACAACCTCCCCCCCCAAATAGATGAAAATCAATATAAACCTTTTATTTCATTAACAAGATATTTTTTTAAATCAACCAAAATATACTTTGTACAATTACAATATTGAGAGACCTGGACATGTTGTGTTTATGTCGTTTTGTTCCAATGTGGTTCGGAAAGATGTTTCATTTCACTCTGGAAACATGATACCAAGAACAAAACAAGTGTTTGATCTTTTCTAAGATAATGTAGATGAAAGTATATATATATATATTTCAAATGATATTGTTACCATTCAAAACATGACCATTAAATTGACGATGTGTTAAATTTATGAACGTCACACTTTGCGTCGCAGGTCATATTTCCATGGTTTTGTCTTTTCAAATTACTATTTTAGATTAAATTAATATCTTTGAATTATGGCATCGATTGATTGGTTCATATTTTATGTTTTTGTTTGATCTTGCTATATACAAACTTTCAAAGTTTTTTTTACTAATTGTGATTCGTATTCACCATTCAAAATCATCCCTGTTAAAGATTATCATTGCAATACTAGTAAATGCTTGAACCATTGTACATTTCAGCAGATGTTACGTCTTAATTATATATTCTGTTACTTTTCACATTTTATTCTTATGGACCTGTTATTGTAGAAGGGACTTTTAACAATTTCAACTTAAACAATTGCAATTTATTTTCTCAATTATGTACAATATCATACTTCACAAAATTTCATGTACATTTTCAAATGTGGCACCTTATAATAAATACTCACCCTTTGGGGTCATAACTACAATAAATATGTTATATTGATTTTAATTTAAAAAATACACGACGTTAGTTTTCCGGATCCATATTTGAAGCAAATTAAATGCTATCTTTATTATCTCCCCACTCCCCACCAAATAGTGTGGGGCCAAATTATCGGCCTCGGCGCGTCCGTCTGTCCGTTTGTCTGTCCGTACAACCGACAGTTTTCTCAAAAACCGCTACAGATATCACCTTCACATATTTAGGGATTTTCCAATCGATGGGTCACCATGGGTCAAAATCCCATAAACCCTCATCCAGTTTGGACGCATTCATTCTTTCCATGGGGCATCGTGTTACTCTAACTTATTACCATGTGACATGTCAGGTGACTTACGATCAAATGGCCACTCCCAAAACTTTCTAAAACAAATCACATTATATCCGTTAGACTCGATATGGCATGATAGGACTCCGTGGGGCAAAGTTATTGAGGTCGTGGAATTCGATGGGGCACGTTGAACTAGATGGGGGAAAGAGGTATTTTACTCCAATTGTGTATGTTTGGCTAAACCTAACTTCGCATTTACCTCTTTATCACATTTGAAGGTGGCCATCTTCCCTACTACGGTCAATCGGATAACTGTCATTGATGAGTATGAACAGGTTAAAACTGCAGAATACCGTTTTAAGTTTGAATTGTGAATGTGAAAAGTTCGAACAAAAAATTAACAAAAGTTCGAATAGAAAACATAAAACGTTCTTGGTTTTATGGTTGAACTGTAAGTCATTTTTTATTTGAAGTTGTTGATTTATTAGTTTGAACCTTTCTAACCTAACTTGGACTACCAAATATTTGGTGTGAAATTTCTTTTTTCTTATTTGAGATTTTTATGTCACCACCAAAAAGAAGTGACATATTGTTATGGTCTCAATTTTTGTGACGGTGATCGGTAGTTGGAGGTTGCTGATGTCTGTAACAAGTTCTTACAACTTCCAATAACTTAACAAATACTGTTTAGACTGACTACAATTTTTTTCAAAATCATCTTCAAGTCTTCAGAGTACAAATCTGACTTTATATTTACGATTTGACAAATTGACCAATATTTTTTCAAAGGCACCTACAAGTTCTCAGAAGCATCTACAAGTTCTCAGAAGTTCAAATCTGACTCAAGGAGGATTGGCTCCCAGGATCGAAACTCGATATTTTCCAACAATGAAAACGTAGAAATGTCGTTATTTTCTGAAATTAAAACCGACTATAAATTCAAAATAAACAGTTCAAAAGATTCGAACCAATATCTCGATCATTTCTTGTGAGTTTTGGAATTTTTCGTTTGGAAATAAGACCAAAATTCACGATTTAAATGTTGAAGTGAACAAAATGGCGGCTGTTTGAATTCGAATTTTGTATTACGACATACCCATATATGGGACAGAATATCGGTGGTGCACTCTGGGAGCCAATCCTCCTTGAATCTGACTTTAGATTTGAGATTCTACCTTCAATGACCTTCTCAAGGTCAAAAAGGTCTTTTTTAAACTTGCTTCAATTTGACCCTTTTTTCAAAATCATCTACAAGTTCTCAAAAGTTGGTAGTTTTCACGTATAAGCCTGTTAAAGTTCAAATATCAAAGCATAATTTCAACAATAAAGTAGTTTAATTCGATGAAAACTAAAAATATCGAAACCGACACTTCCCCCCCCCCCATCTTAAATGCGAAGGTGACGGTCGTAACCTTCGATTGATACCGACCAGTGTTATTGTTTAAACATGCATTTACATCACGTTCCCACTGTTTCAAACATACGTGTTAATATACATTTACATGTTATCGATCTCGATGGAGTTAATGCTCTGTACCACGTACGTAATAATAAATTAGACTACATCACAGTGTACATGTGCAATCTGAATCTATCGTGTTTTACATTTGACACTTACAGTATTAGACTCCAGATGGAAATCTGGAGTCTATTGTTTTTGCCTCTTTAATTTTCTCTCTTCTTCTTCTTCTTCTTCTTCTTCTTCTTCTTCTTCTTCTTCTTCAGTCGTCCTTCAGTATTTTTCTCGGTCTTTTTTGCATCATATTCCTTGTAAACAAAGCTAATCCCGAAAGGCAAATCGTGTTATCTATCTATCTTACCCATCTTATCTATATTTATGTTATCTCTCTGTTATCCATCTTTTTTATCAATGTTATAAAGTACCATCTTATCTATTTATGTTAACAATCTTATCTCTCTAATGAATCTGTTAGTGTTATCCATCTTATTTGTCTATGTTATCTATCCTATCGTTCTATGTTAACAATCTTATCAATCTATGTTATCTATCTATGTTAACAATTTTATTTATCTATCTTATCTGTCTTGTCTATCTATGTTAACAATCTTATCTATCTGTGTTATCTATCTATGTTGCCATCCATGTTAACAATCTTAACCACCCATCCATCTATTCATGTTATATCTGTCTTATCTGTCTATGTTAACAATCTTATCTAACTATGTTAACAATCTCATCTAACTATGTTAACAATCTTATCTATCTACGTTATCTACCTTACGGATTATGGCGACGGCTTTTGTGAATGGATGTTGACCCTTTGAAACGCCTATGGACTTGGAGACTGGATTTTATCTATCCCACATCATTTGAGACTGAATGCTCTATCTTGTATGAGTACTTGTATCTACAACAATTTTTGAGGTTATGAGTATTTGCTATCAATTGGCTATCAATTTCTAATTTTTTCTTCAACATGTATTGTAATGACTTCAGTATGAATGAAATGTCCCTTGGTCTTCTGGTCTTTACCCTTTGCATTCGTTTGACTTCACTTCTTAAAAGAGAGCTTCGTCTTCTGTAGTTTAACTAGACTCTGCACGCAGGGTAGTTTAACTAGACTCTGCACGCAGGGTACTGGTCTTGGATTGTGATATTGATTCTTGAATGGTGGGGGAAAGGGGGTATTAGACATTGTTTCTTTTCACGTTAGATCATGGTTTTTGGCTATATGGAGCTTGTTTTTCTTGACTGGTATGCACTTAGAGTTTGCTTTTTCTTGTTAAGTTCCATTACAACTTTTGGTCCTTTCCCTTTTGGCACTAGTGCTTATATATTTATGTATCTATCTAAAAATCTGCCATCTGGAGTTTGAAATTGAACTTGTTAAATTTCCAATTTCTAGTTATATATACACCTGAGCCTCAATCCCATTTACTACGGCGACCGCAAATTT